ACACATGAAAGGATGTGGGAGACAAGCCAGCCGGGAACCCGACCACAAGCACCCACAAATGAAAAGAACTGGGAGACAAATGAAAGCAAGTTGCAGACAAGCCAGCCGGGAACCCGACCGCAAGCACCCAGCCTGGGAGACAAATGAAAGGAATTGGAAGACAAATGAGAAAAAGTGGGGGACACATGAAAGGAAGTGGGAGACAAGCCAGCCAGGAACCCGACCACAAGCAACCAGCCTGGGAAACAAATGAAAAGAATTGGGAGACAAATGAAAGGAAGTGGGAGACAAGCCAGCCTGGAACCGGACCACAAGCACCCACCCTGGGAGACAAATGAAAAGAACTGGGAGACAAATGAAAGGAAGTGGGAGACAAGCCAGCCGGGAACCCGACCACAAGCACCCAGCCTGGGAGACAAATGAAAAGAAGTGGGAGACAAATGAAAAGAAGTGGGAGACAAATGAAAAGAAGTGGGAGACAAATGAAAGGAAGTGGGAACCCAGCCTGGGAGACAAATGAAAAGAACTGGAAGACAAATGAAAAGAAGTGGGAGACAAATGAAAGGAAGTGGGAGACAAGCCAGCCTGGAACCCGACCACAAGCACCCACCCTGGGAGACAAATGAAAAGAACTGGGAGACAAATGAAAGGAAGTGGGAGACAAGCCAGCCAGGAACCCGACCACAAGCACCCAGCCTGGGAGACAAATGAAAAGCACTGGGAGACAAATGAAAAGAAGTGGGAGACACATGAAAGGATGTGGGAGACAAGCCAGCCGGGAACCCGACCACAAGCAACAGCCTGGGAGACAAATGAAAAGAAATGGGAGACAAATGAAAAGAACTGGGAGACAAATGAAAGCAAGTTGGAGACAAGCCAGCCAGGAACCCGGCCAGACCATCCAGCACCAAGGCGACCATTCTTTAAAGCATTGAGAACCCCTAACAGTAAACTGTTTGGGGAAAAAGGCAGCGTTCGCCAGCGGCTCATCCCAATGACGATGGTCACCCAGTTGCTTCGAGACCATGCGCAAAATAGCCCTATGAGGCCTAAGTGTTACCCGCCAAAAATGGCCACCCATGCGGCCGCCCCTGAGCCCATCTGAACCTCCAAACCATGCTTCTCTGTTCCGCCACGCGGCCTGAGAAAACACCGTTCCTTCAGGTTCTCTGGGCGCCCAACGACAGCACGGCGGAGCCGCAGAAGCTTCGCAGGTCCTCCACCTTCGTCCCATTATAGGCCTGGCGCTCCGCTCCGAGCGAGTTGGTGAGCCCCCGTGCGACCGCCCCCGTGCTCGCTCGCGAGCCCGAGCCCAGGAAAGCCCCCGAATCCACGCTGTTCGACCATTCAAGCCCGAGCCGCGAGCGTGCGGCCGTGCGCTCGAGCGCTCGTGCGCTCCATGCGCTCCATGCGCTCGTGCGGCGGCCAGCTCGCTGCCTCCTTTTCGAGGCTGCACAGCTCGGGCACCACCAGTTCCTTTCCAAGACATGTGGATCCACTCCAAGCACATTTGGGCAGCAGCCCACACTCCTGCACCCAGTGGTGCGGACCGAACGTTCCGTGTTTCCGGTTTCCCCGGCACCAGGCCCGACCGCGACGGAGTCTCCGGTGCGGTCGAACCGGTGCAGCAGCTAGTCCTAAGGACCAAACTGGACATGGAAGACAGCTTTTTGGGGGGAGCAACTGCTGAGCTTCAAAGTCGTTTCCAGTCGTGAAATTGAAACAGAAACAGGCTGGACCCTTACTATAGATCAATGAATGACAAAGGGCTCCCAGCTAGTTCGGCTTCCAAAGCTACCGGCGCCTGGAGGGCACGCCTCCGCAGTTGAAAATAGGTGGTTGGTAGGGTGCCTCTTTGTTAATTAGCATGCTGCGATGTCAGAAAAGGGTTCACGAGGCTCGTCCAAGAATATTTGGCGCTGTCAAAGTGTGCTTCATAGTCTCCAAATGATGCAAAAGGACCTCCCTCAATTGCACTGAAAAGGCCAACCAGCAGTTGTTCAAGCCAACCGTTTCTGGCCGACCACGCCTTCAAAAACTCAAAGATCAAACAAAAAACAGACTCAAGAGACTCCCTTCTTTCGCCGGTTTGGAACCAAAAAGCCGCCAGCGTCCTTCTCGTCTTTCGCATTCACACCTGATACGGCGGTCAGTGACCGCCAGTGCGACCCGCGGTAGACCCTGAGGCCCTGGCAAGCATTCCTGAGACGTGACCAGCCGGTGGGTTCTTCAGGATCCCAACAGGACATCGTCCACCGAACCCAAGCTAAGGTGCCCCAGAGTCAAACGAACTAACTCGGTTTCAAGAGTCGATTTCTACTTGCTGTCTCAACAGTCTCAACTACTTCTTCTTGTGCCAAGCATCTTGCTGAAGCTAGGAGTGAAGGCATCTTTGAAGCCGCAAGCTTCATAAGAGTAGTAGATGCTCTTCCCTCTCCTTGGAGCGTTTTCACCACAGCATCTCAACAGCGATTCTTACTAGTTGATCATTTCACGATTCAGTACCCAAGCAGCATGGTGGCGTTGAAATACAAGGCCTCCTTGGGAGGTGACTTGACGGTGCACTTACCTCAGACTTCGCAACATCCAGACCAACCACTGCCGCATTTGCCACGCCAGGAACAGCTCTCAGAACGCGCCACGGACCCAGCGCGCGCGTGCGCTAGGCACCGCCACAGGGATCCACGTAGCACCACTTCTGCTGGCAAAACTCCGGCGGACGACCTGGGGAACCGCGAAGATCCACCAGGAACCGCGGGAAGTTTCCCCCCCACGGCTTCTTTCGACCGCCCCACCGGTTCGGAACAGGTCAACTTGCTCAAGGAGATGAATCCATCTCCGGTTCGGGTGTTGGGATGTCTGCCTGAAGCCTCAACTGATCCAAAACGAACCCAAATCCGATCCATCTTTACTCTGAACTGGCCGAGGTCGCGAGTCTCAGGGCCACCGGACTTGGTGAGCCCCGACGGCGCCGGCCTGACATCGGACGCGGCGCCCTGGGCCCTCGCGCCGGCCGCACAGAGAGGATGCAGATGTGCATCCCAGGCCTCCGGAAAGTGACGATCAAGTAAAACCGGGTCAGATTTCACCAGATGTCACCCCCACCCAGTCACACTTGATCAAGTTCGGAAAGCGAAGAAGATGAACGAGCGTGGGCCTGTGCTTTTTGGAGTGGGGGCTCTTGACATGTCTCCCTAGATGGACAGCCGGGAATGTGCAGCCTGAATGAGTGCGGTTCCCATTCCCGGTGGCGATGTAGTTGCAATCCCCACGTGAAAATGATAACATGAGTTGCACAAAAAAAGTATACTGTAGACTGTAACTGCCCATAAGCATGAATCTTATTATGAAAGTTATCGCGAGTGAAGGGAATTAATTGTAAGACCCTGATAAATTTTAATGAATGGGTAAGGAATTGTTGGTTTTCTGGGTTATATCTGCTAATAAAATAAAGATGAAAATGATAGAGAAATACCAATGGATATAGCAACCGCGGTGACTGATAATAATATGGTAAATTGATGTAAATTGTACCTTTTTCTCGGAGGACGTAGACGCACTCTGCCTGGCAGCTCCCTCCCAGCTCGGCCGGGTACTGGACGAGGCCATCGTCCAGGCTGACGGCAAAGCTTCCAGCCTGACGACTCGCGTGGCCCGTGGGCCGCACGTCGTCCGGTCTTGAAAAGTGGATTGGACAGATTCAGGGACGGTTGGTGAAATATGCCACTAACCTCGCTGGGGCCACCTCCATCCAATTTTTCTAGGAACTGATATGTCAGAGTCTGGCATGAAGCCGCAAGCAGCCACACTCCGGGCTCCAATTCAGAAGTGAAGCTCCATGCAGCTGCCGAGCTTTCTCTAAGCTTCCGCGCCCGATGGTCTATGCCAATGCACTTGCAACCGTCCACAGGGTCCTGAAGGTCCAGCGACGAAAGCGACGGGACCTCGCGGCCCTGCCGCGGGGAAGGAGTCGAGCTGCCGAGCCCGCCTGGTCGATCTTGGGGGTCTCGACCCCACAGGTATCATAGGAGTAGAAGAGAGGCATGTTCCTCGGTTTTTCCCATGTGCGTAGGCAACCCCAAACATGCCGCAAGCAGCGGATTTGGGGTGAAGACCCTGCCGCTTCCTGCTTCCCAGGTCACTGGAATCGGGCTGATGGCAGGTACTTGGACAGCGTGGGCACCACCTGAACGTCGGCCACGGCGGATGTCTTTTCGCGCGTTCGGCGTCTCGGCGGGTGTTCGGGGTTTTCGGTCACGGCGCAGGTCGGTCGCCCACCTCCAAGTCACACTTCCTCGCATCCACATAGCACCTTCCAGGCGAAGAAAGAGGCTTTCGCCACTTCAACCGGCACCATCTAGCTAGAAGCTACGAACGGTGCCCAAGGGCATCGCTACGAACCTAACAAGCTACGAACGTAGCTCCTGGCGCTAGGAACAAGCTAGTAGGTTGTTGGCACCACCATCTACAAATCGTTTTGGCGGCTCAGTTGGTGAAGTTGTCTGGTCATTCTCCAACTGCAAAACCAACAAACGTGAACTCATGGACATGGCATATGGTGTCGCCTGTTTGTCTTGGTGAGAAAGCTTGTGTCCCTGCGTTTTGGCCCTTCAAAGATTCATAGCCAAACCCTGGCCCTGATCTGCGGGCAAGTGGCCATGGCTGCTTGCACCAACTCTTGCGCCCCTGAAAAGGGCGATCAAAGGGGCTGGGGACTCGGGGACCCTCTTCCCACCCACAAAGACCTATATATGACTCAGAAGGTGAACTGCTTGAACATCTTCCAAGCGTCCTTTTTTCTACCACCGCCCCCAACTCCCACACCTCTCCCTCTCGGCACTCGGGATTCCGGTTCTGGTCCCAAGGCTGGCAGCTGCTGCCCAGGTCGCCTGCGTTCGATCATCAGAGCATCTCCCATGAGATTTTTTGTGCCGATCCAAATCAATGTTTTTAAATATGTATCACATTAGCCCGGGCCCAGCGGATGATGATGGTTCGGTTGCAGGCCTTTCTCGCCTTTCTCCAAGAAAAAACAGTTATAATCTGTTACTGACTGTTATTGACATATGATGGCACACACCCTACACACGATAACTCCATGCAAGGTGGCAAATTGGCAAAGAAGAAAACCAGAGCTTGCTCGACCTTCTTCAGCAGACTCGCCCGAAGCATCTTTCGTCTGCCTGATCTGGTTCACGTCCGATGTCCTTCCCCCACCTGGGTAGGCGACGTAACTCTCCCCCACCAAAGCCATGGTGACCCCGTTCACGTCCGCGAAGCCCACGCAAGGACATTTGGCTGAACCAAAGGCCTCCAGCGCCGCCTGGTGCGGAGCGGCGAAACGCGGTGAAGCGCGGCCAAAACGCGGGCGTTTCTTCAGAACCACGTGTTTTTCCGCACCAAGGAAGCACAAGTGAGTCAAGTGCCAAAACGGGACGTTATTTTAACAAAGCCTAACCATCCTAACCCCATCCAACGCGAAACATCTTTCTTGATCCCTCTCTCCATCCCGATGAGATGGGCGAGCTGGCCGGAAAATGGGCATGTTTCTTGAACGCTCTGGCGGATGTGCTGCTCATGATGGTGCCAAAGGAGTTCTCTAGCACAAATTGTCCCCACTGCGCTTCTGCAGCAAGCTGGCCCCTTTCAAGAGGAGAACCACAACAGTCAGACAGACCACGCTCATTTTGGCCACAAGGAATGACAAGAATAGAGTCACTGCAAGTACGACTAGAAGAGAGTCCAAAGTAAAGCCACCAATGTCTGATGGAAAAATGCTTTAAAAAAATGCCCCACAGTCAACTTCGACGGTGAAGTTGATTGCAAACCTCTTGCGCGGCCTGGGTCGCATTCTTCTCGCGGATCGCTCCTGGCAAGTTACACGGTCAAAGTTTGAGGCAAAATTCCAACACCCATAAAGGATTGAAACACCTGCCAAACCTATCTTCATTCACCCTGTCACGAGGGCGAGTATATACCCCCCCCTTTGAAAAAGCCTTCGTACCTGAACTCACGTTCGTACCTTCCTCTCATCCTGAACCTGTATTCGATTTAGTGCAAATTAGTTACTACTAGCGTGGCACCTGTTACTAGTAGCTTCTTGTTACTACTAGTAGGGCACTTGTTTCTAGTAGCGATGCACCTGTTTCTGTTCACAACAAAACACCCAGAGTCGGTCCGGATCCACACCCCTCCCTGACGCCGACAGAAAAAGAGAAACAGCCTTCGGGACCCACTTGGATGGCGGCCGTCAGATGGAGGAAGGCCACGACCTCAGCTGAGTCATGAACCCGGCGAGGAAGGCTGTCTGAGTGTGACTCACTTTCGCCGTTAAGGCCCTGGCCCACTTCATTCTGCCCGGGTGCCGTGTGGGCACTGGAGTTCGAGCCACCAAAAAGAAGACAACAGCCAAACTATGCCAAATTGATGTTGCTCTTGACTGACGATCGCGGCTCTTGCACTCCTCCCCTCAAAAAGACATGGTCAAGCACTGCTGTACTCTTTGCAAAGACATTTCGACCAGCAAATGCTGGAAAGATCTCACTTGGTTGCCCCGGTGCCGCACAAATTTGACACCTTTTAAAGCCAGCGCACACATGCGTCCCGTCGGGATCAAAGCCCTTTGGGTTTCCTTCAGGAACCAAACACTGGGACCAGCCCTGCCAACCACCATGACCCCATGGGCCCCATACTTGACCCCATACCGTATTGCGTGCGTGTTCCCGCACTTCGTCAAACACACTGCCTTGGTGGTTTGCCCATGCTCACGGGCCGTTCCCAATCAATCAGTGAATTCTCCGCCTAACTCCATTCATTGGGCGGCAAACTCTTTAACTTACAGTCCTCCCAAATGACTGGGACATTCGGAAGGTGCCCAGGTGACAAGCCTTGCTTTGGAAAGCTTTCTGCTGCATCTGCTTCGACGTCCGCTCGTTGGCCTCGAAGCCCACATGCATGCACAGTCCGTCCAGCCGCTTGGCCACGAGCCTGGCAAGCAGGGCGCCCCGCGGGGCCAGGAACACCACCGAGGAGCGCGAGTGCGCACCCCGTTGCCGCCGTGGGTTTCGAAGAACGCGGTTTTTTCCCTACGTTCAGGTCGCCCAGCTCCGACCAGATCCGTTCAACGACCCATTGCCTGACTCCAAAAAGGCCAAAAAGTCCCCCAGGGTGAGCGGAGGCGTTCGGCCTTGTTCGGCCTTTTCGGGGCCCCGGTCCGAAATACATACCTCACACGCGTGTCCTGCCACAGCTCCACGGACCTTTTACCGAGATTCATCACCCCAATGACATGTGTGACATGTGGTACTTTGGCAGCCTTAGCTCCGAATGCATCAGCACCTGGTCAATCGCGCGCGCTTCCCCTTTGCAATGCATAATGCCATTAATAAACTCGTGAAGTGTTACTTCCCCGTCGCCATCATCCAAGAGCTTGAAGAGCGCAGCGCTTTCTTTCACGTCCAAGTCGAGGGTCTCCAGGTACGCGTGAATGTTTGGAAGCGACAAAACGCTGGCCAGTTGTTGCTCTGTGATCATGCCGGTTTGGTTTACATCAATTGCAGTGAACAAGGCTTCCAGCTTCTCCACATAGACCCTCCGTCTTTCTTTCTTGTCGACCACAGCCAGATCTGCATCACTCTGGGCCGCATCAAGGGTGTCCTCAGGAGCTTCACACAAGTTGGAAGCCGTGAACCCCGAACGCGGCGAACCCGGTCGCAGCTTTCAAAGGGAATTGCCCCAGATCCGGGGTGATGTGAAAAGTGGAAAAGGATCCCGTTGTTGACCGCTGCTCCCACTACGAGAACCTTTGCCACCACTAAGGCAGTGCTACCTAGCGCTATTTCCACGGGTAGCCATGGGCCGGCTCCTGGGCAAAAAATAGCGACAGCACCCGCAGAGCGGCGGAGACCCAGGGACGCCTGACAGCCGTAACAGTCGTAACAGTGCGACTCGGAAGTTGGGATGTGAACTCCTAGGAGTCAATGCACAAAATGCACTGGGTGGAGTTCTGTTGCACTGGTTTGCTGCTAGTGAAGCGCTACATTTAGCCTGCTTGTGCGAATGGTAAACCACATCGCCATGACCAGAGACCAAAGCGAAGAACGCGATGATGGTGTCTGTTGCGCGATGCCCTCATGAATGCAATCTAGAATAGAACAGAAATATGCACGAGACACAGAAGTGGAGGGAACTGCCTCTGTCAGGCTGGCACAGGTTTGGGGGACGACCGGCTGCTAATTGATTCTCTGGGGAATGGCAATGACTTGAGTCATGGGAGTAGGACACTATGGCTCCTTCAGATCGGCTGTTTATGTTGGGTATGTCTCAAAAATAGTGCAGTAGTTGCTTGTTTACTGACTGTTACAGGCTACAGGTATTAGGACACCCCCAAATGTTCATATGATGGCCTTTGAGGAATTATATAATCGTTCTGTCAACACTCTTCATTTACAGCCCGTCGGTGAGTTGAGGGAAGAGCATCTGCCGGCGAAACATACGGCCCGTGCTGAACCGCAAAGCAAATGGAAAAATGCATGGGCTTTTCAATGCTACCCCGTTCTACCCCCATTCTACCTGCTATATCAGAACCCCGTTCAAAAGCGTGGACTGGAAATGGGCGTGGACTCCAAGTTTCACACGGTGCGTTTACGCACTGGAAGAATGACAAGGGACTTTTAAAAAGAGGGCCGATATCACTCTGATCAGCGCGAAGACGATAATGGTGATGTAGCCCAGGTAGAACAGGGCGAAGAGTGGACTCACAGCTTCAATGACAGGCCTCGCATTGGTTGGCCTTGGGATGCACCCAGCAAGTGTGAAATGCACCGAGCAAAATCCAAACCCCAGAAAGTCCACCAAACGGCTACCAGAAAGTCCAAGAAAACATGGCTTGGGCCGACTGTGGCTTTGAGCCCAACCCCTAACCCCAACCAAAAAGAAGAAAGAGCTTCTGAACGGGTTTCTCTATGTCTATCGAGATCTATCGAAGACGTGTCTGACCTCTCTACAGACTGACTCAGTACAGAATGTCCTCGACTCTTCTTGGACCTTTGGACTCCTACGGCTGAGCTGAGCCCCAACAAATGTCCAGTCCAAACAGACCCAGTTGCCAGTTTCCAGCAAAGGTCACCTGACAGCGTCGCCAAAAAGACAACTCGGACATGCGCTCGAACTAGATCAGTGAATCAGTCACTGCCTGCTGCGGTCACTGCCCTGGACCCTAGAGCCTTGATTAGATTTCATAGATGAAACTCTGCACACATCTGATAACAGGCTTGTGACAATGTCTTGAACATCAAACGCACCACTCCCAAAGCGGTCCCCCGGGCGTTCAAACATGAGTGCCCTCCAAAACGAGAGCTCGGAAGGCTGTATCTCCAAGTGGTTTTGTCCAAAGCCCTTCGGGGACTCGTGTGAAGATGCAGCATTGCCGCATGGAGGAAAGCTGTACCAGGCCCACCTCATACATGGTGTATAGGGCTCGGAAGGCTGTGCCATAGCGCGTCCAAACCCAGATCTTCTCCTCGAGCTCGGTCGCAGGATCAGCCACAAAGGTTTGCAGAGTCGTTCCCAAAGTCAACGCACCCATGATCATGAAGACCGCAAGTAGCACCTCACTCACAGGTCGATGCGGCATCCTGAAGTAAACGAAACCATCTGCAGAGGTTCCCCGAAAACAGGATTCAGGATCCCACACATACCCCCCAACCACTGCTTGCGTGGGCGTCATGCAGTTGCCACCGTCGTGGTGAGGCCCAAGCGAAACCATGCCATGTTTGGTGCCAATTCCCCGTGCTCCGCGCCACGTCACCCGCCTCACCGGCCCGCGCGGACGCCGCCGGCCACGGCGTTCACCGTCGGACCGAGCGGAATGGCCACGGCTCCAAGGGGCCATGGACCAGAAGAGCGACGGCAGGAAGCACTTGCACGCCGTCACCAGCAAGCGCAGGCCCCGCACGAAGCGGAAGGTCCGCACCAGGCGCAGCGCGCGCATGGACTTGAGGCTGCGCATGAGCTTCAGGGAGGGCTCGTCCTGAAACGACGTGAAGCGGAGGTGCCAGCTGCTTTGGCTCATGGTGTTATATATCCTCAAGCTTTTCAGGTACCATCAGAAGCACGCTTCCCCCCAACAGGCCTTCTTCTTGAATCTGGAGTTCTTCCACCTTTGATCTGCTCCGAACGCTCGTGCTTGTCCGCCCCCTCCCAACTCCCAACCGCTGACCGGCACCCCGCGGCGCGGCGGTGCGGTCCTCGAGGTCGGTGAAGCTGGGATCGAAGGGGCGACTGACGGCCACATCCACCACCCCCAGAACCACCAAGACACCGTCGAAGAGGTTCGCCACATCCTGCAAAAAGCCACATAGGAAAGGAAGGGATGGCTGAGTGGCGGCGAAGAGCGATCGCGAGGAATCCCATGGATCGGAACCTCTGAGAAAAACACGGGCCGGGTGGGGTTGTGTTTCTGGGCGGGTGGTTGAACAGGGGGGGTGAGGGGAGAAAGCGTTTCGGAGCTCCGAGGGCTCCGAAAACGGATTGAGGTCTTCCAGGTGCTCCTGACACCGATGTGCCAATGAGTACTCCATGGCTGATTTGTCCCCCAAACAAAAATTTCCCAAGCGGTCGAGAACAAAAAGTGCCAAGTGAAGCTATGTTAAGCTTCCAGGAATTCCACAGGGCTGCTTGTTGGAGGATAGGGCGGGATGCCCATGATCCGGACCAAAAACCACCCAACTCAAACACCAAAAACCACCCCCTGGTGGTCCACTGGATCGACCAATCCTCGGGCCGACGCCGCCCGAAATCCGCGGGAAATCCGGTCCTGGAAAAAGCCCTGCCGCTCCACCGAGATCCTCGGGCCGCGGATCGACGAACAGGTCGTTTCTCCAAGGGCGCCGCCACATGCGTGCGCAAGAGACAGACGTCCGTTACGTTACGATATACAATACATGCATATTACATTACATATTACATTGACTTGCATTGCATGATATACATTTACTTTAGCATATGTATACGTGTGCATTTACATTACATACATACATTGTATACATCGTTTCCTTTCCTATGATGTCTTCCAAAAGCCTCAAGAACCGTCAAACCGGTCGCAAATCGGCCTTAACAAGAGCTCCACGAGGTAGAAAAACACAAAGGAGGACTCGGCGGCCTCCAGCCAATGCAATTGTATACTATGCACGTGTCTGCATCTCCTTGCCACAAGTGCTGCCGTCTCCCACAAACCAAAAAAGGTGTGTGGGTATGTGTGTTCGTCCTCTCCAACCTCAGCATGCTCGGTAGCAAGTTCACCCTATATCAGAACAACCAAACCGGGCTGTCGCCCTGCGCTGCACCTGAAAGCAGCTATGTCATTCAAGTGTGAACACGGCTTTTCCAAAAATCAAGCGTTCCTCCCCATCCGGCTATGGATCACAATCTGGTTCACCACATGAACAGAATTGAAGAATCTATTCACAAGGAGTAGTCAGTTCCACCTACCAAAGCCTGACGCTTCAGGCTTGGACCCAACTGTGCCATGTCATGGGGCCCGGATTCGGAGGCGGCTGTGCCTGGACCAGCTGCAGCTCGTGGGCGTAGGAGGGCGCACTCTGGCCCAGGAAGACCGCGGCCGAGCGGCCCTCGAGTTCCAACTGCAGCAACATCAGCAGAGAGTTAAAAAGGACCTGGCGCGAACGCGTTTGTCGGCGAGGTCAAAAACGCTGAAAGAGAACAAACGCGAAAACGCTGGCGCGTGCTTTTTCGGGGAAAATGGGGGTAGGGGCAAAGGACGCACACGGGCGGGTAATACTGAAGTGACAGGTTCTGATTCACAAAAAATTGACTGAATTAGGATCTTCTGACGGAGCCTACCCCTTCAGAAACCCAGGTCATTTTTTCCTCTCAGACAGTCTGCCCTTCTACGCCGGGACACGGCGATCCCCGCCACATAATCAATCCATGGGAAGAGTTGGCATCGCCAGCACTTCTCGCTCTCGGCGCTGAAGAGGCTTTCCATCTTGGCGGACTGCCGCGATCTACCCGCAGCACTGGAGAGGGAGTCCACCTTCTTCACTGCCACCATATCCACCATCTTCTCAGAGATCGCTCGCACTAGCGGAGATCCCGTCCTGAGATGGAGGCCGCAGTCGCGCCGCGCCCTCTCCACCCGAGGCGGCGCGCGCGCGTCCGGCCGCGACTTCCTCGATCTTCTGCGCTCCAAGGATCTCTACTGATAGAACCGCATCCTCCACGTCGTTGGAGTCGAAGTCGACTTCCTCTTCGAAGGAGGGCCAGGGGTCCAAATCCTCTGGCAGAGCCGGCTGCTCCGGCGGCACTGGAGCGAGAAGCGGAAAGACGTCCAGGCCTGGCACGCGGAGGCCCGGAGGCGGTCCGCGTCTGGGCGAAAGAGTGGGAAGGTCCCTAGTAGTGGGAAGGTCATGGGAAGGTCCGTGTTAGCCATGGGATGTATAGGGATATCACAAATTGCCATCAAAGTGCGTATTAAAATAATGGCTGATGGTCCTTTACCAGGACTCCTTCCCCCTTTTTCCCGTGTGCATCCTTCCGGGGCGAAAGAGGATTTTAAAAAAAACAGGGCCTCCTTCGTCATCGTTCCACCTACCACTCCCGCCCCCAGTTCTACACGTTCCGCGGCTCGCCTGCAGCGAGGGCGCGCGGCTCGCTGGGTTCGAAGATCGAAGCGAGGCCCTGAAGGGTTCGGAGCCACGCTTCGTGCTCCTTGCGGAGTCCCGGGGGAGCGGATTCCGCGGATTCAGCAGCCAAGAACCAAACGTTCAACTCAACTTGGATGCTTGTGGAATATGTTGAATAGAAAAATTCAACCTCAGTTACCAGGGACACCAAGTTCTTTCTTGGGACCTGTGGGCTGGCAGGGGCTTGCTGGGGCGACATGCTGCCAGTCGACCTTTCTGCGGCGTAAGGGGAACGGAGGAACCCTCCGGCCGGCCGTTCCGGGGAGGAGGTTCCTTCCACTAAGGCTCCCAAGCCGCTGGTCTTTCGGGCGCCCGACATGGCATGCCGAAAAGTGCCGCTGACACTCCGAACTCACGTGTTTCCATTGGAACCACCGCCGTCCGTACGTCCTTCCGACCGTCCCGTCCGTCGCTGAAAGCGGGTTGCCGTGCCACGGGCGATCCCGGTGTCTCCTCCTCGGCGCGCTGCAACAGCTTGTCATGCTCCGCAGCAAGCCGCTTCAACAAGTCCTGCGTTTGGCCGCGCGGCCCTGAGGTGCCCCAGTCATCTCCGAAGGTCTACCCACCGTGGCCCGGAGCCCTGTTTGGCTTGATCAAACGCCAACCAACTGCGAGTTTCGACATCCCACCCAACCTTGAACTGGTCGCCCGGCTCCATGGCGAAGAGAAACGTCCAAAGAAAAGCGACTAGTGACTAGAGGGCAGTGGAATGTGTGTTTTATGTTTGCCGGTCTTTCACGAGGGTTTCGCCTTGTAGGTGTCGCGGGTTTCGCGACTCCGTTTCAGCCGCGCGACTCGTCTGCTTGGTGAGCCGCCATTGGTTTGTGACAGTGTAGGGTTCCCCTGTTTGCGTTGAAGATCAGCAAGGCCTCGCTGGAGAGCATTGAATTAGCTTCATGCAAGCCAAAGGTGCAAGCCAGATGTGAAAACCAAAGGTGCAAGCCAAATGTGAAACGAGTCAAAAAGCAATCGTTATGGAGCGTATTTTATAGTATTAGTATATATATATATACATGCAACTGGGTGAAGGTCGGCAGGCATGGGGCGCAGGAAAGCCGTCCAACGCGTCAATCAGATCGACGGATTCGCAGGTCCCGTTGGCCAAGTCGATGTTTTTTCGGCCAACGCAACGCGCCACTTTGTGGCATGTTTGAGCCTGGCGACATAACGAACAAATGGAGATGGTCAGAAACTGGTGACTGCTAGTTGCGGATGCCTTCTTTCTTTGCTCTTCTTCTTATTATTGTTATTGTTGATATATATATATATATTATTATCATTATTAGTATTGTTATAATTATTATTATGAAAGTTTTTCTTATTAAAGTTATTCTTATTCTTGGTCTTCTTCTTCTTCGTATTCTTCTTCTTCTTCGTATTCTTATTCTTCTTATTATTCTTATTATTATATACCATTATTATTGGTATTCTTATTCTTCTTGTCTTCTGCTTTTGTGTTATTCTTTGTTTTCTTCTTCTCCTCCTCCTTCTACTTCTTGTCCTTTTGCCCTTTGGGCCCGGAAGCCTTTGTTTTGACAAGTTGCCGTTTCTGCCCACACTCACATCGAAACAAAGCCGCGAGGCAGCCAGAGCCGGCCATGACGGTCTAAGGACCTGTGCACCTAAAGCCCCTCTGAATAAGTAGACCCAGACAAATAAAGGGCACTGCTTCTCGTGGGAGCAGGGTCCTCCGAATGCTGCTGGTGCAGCTTCAGACTCAGCAACGGAAGCACAAGAGTCAAAGCTTGTGTGGAAAGCCTTCTGCTCCAACGATCTAATTGAGGGATACAGTATAAGGCCCCCGGTTACCGAACGGTTTTTCCCTTCCTGGTAAAGGTAATTCGCTGCATTTACATGATACAACCAGACCTACCAGGTTGTGGGCTGTTCCCATCCCCATCAAGGTGAATGGAACTATTCCAGCATCCGACGTTGAGGCAAAGACCTGTAGAGTCGGGTGCTGGGGTGCTGGTTTATGATGAGAACTGGAGTCAACTGGACAGAGATTTCGAGAATCTCCGCCATGGCCTGAAGCTTCAGGCTTCCAGATTGCTGCTTTGTGCAAACCTGCTCACTTTGAGCAGGTTGGGTCGCTAACCGCGTCCAGTCAAGGTTGCTCACAAAGTTCTGAACCGCAGATCTGACATGCAACTCATGCAACACTCAAACAAACCTGTGTGGAGGAATCCATGCAGTTCAGCGCAACCTTGCCACACAGTCACCCTGCCTTCACAGGGCTCCCGCGTGGTGAAAACGCGCCAGTGGCACTTGTCCTTCGCCTGCCCGAGCTCAGCTGCTCAGCTGCACAGCTGCTCAGCTGCTCAGCTGAGCTCAGGCGCTGCGTGGCAGCTGCGTGGCTGCTCGGCTTCAGCCGCCCAAGACCCCATTCAGCGTCCCGCGCAGCGCCGCCAAAACTCTCTCCTCCTCCGATCGGTCCCGCGTCTCGCCCGGCGCATCGGAGAGAAGGCCCTGCCGAGGTCACTCGAAGAATCGGCGTTCGCCCATTGCGCGGCACACCCGGTGACCGCGGCTCGTCTGAACTGAAAACGAAGGTGAGAACCAGTGAGAACTAGTGAGAAAGAAAGAAAGAAAGAAAGAAAGAGAGGACAACCTTCAAGACTTCGACTTTCTTCGGGCTATCGGCCGCCTTATTTTTCGGCGGACCCACTCCAAATGAAGTGTACTGCACACAACCTAGTAGCAAATGGCCTCCACCCTCCCCCATCATAGTTCCCCCCCAGTGCCGGCGCCGTCCGGCCTTCTTCACCCGCATGTGGATTTCATGGCTGTGCCCTCCGCGGATCGTGACTGTGGCACTCTGCTCATAGAAGAGGTCCAGCTTGAAATCTGCCTCTCTTCGCAATGTGAGATGCGCCTCACCTGGCTGAGTGGGGAGGAACAGCAAGTCACCAGCACCTTGGCAACGTCCGGTTTTCCAGGGCCCTGACGGATCCGCACGGCGTGTGGCTCCGGATCCGGCCCAAGAGTGGCCACCAAGAGTGGCCGCGTGAAACACCGCGAACACCGGCAGGCCCATGCACCGTTCTGAACGGCCCTGACCCGCACGAACCGCCACACGGACGCCACACGGTTCTGAACGGGTCGACCTGCCGACGGCGGATGCGGAGGGATGAGGAACGGTGGGGGGTGCATGAGGAAGGCGGAGGAGGAGGCTGAGGACTATGATAGGATGGGCACGGACAAGGAAAGATGCGGATGAACATGTATCCAAATAAAGCTCAGGATGAGGATCAGGACAAGGATAAGGAACCAACAGGATTTGAATCAAATGAACGGAACCATTACATAAACATTGGCTAGCGAGAAATTGCATCAGCCACAAGGAAAAGCGTGGGATGACATGTCGGGATTTCTCTTTTGATTGGTTGAAATGTTTGAACACAAACCGTTGAACATGGAACATTCACATTTAACATCGGTGGTCTTGGGGATCCAACGTCCATGGGTTTTTGCTTCTTTTTGGTTCAACGGACGAGCGTCTCAGGTGATGCTTCTGGACCCCAACTTCAATCTCGTGCGCAGGCATGAAATCAGCGGTGACCTGGTCGTCCTTCCCATCATAGCGCTTCAACAGGTACACGAGGGGCTGCGAGAGTCCCTCCTTCTTCTCTAAGGCTGAAATCAAAGAGTCCACTAACTCGAACCAGTGCTGTTTCCAACAAAGGCCTCGGCAGCGAGTACAAGTCACTTGCGGCAGCGAGTGACTTAAGCCCAGCACAAGCGCACAAGGCAAGCAAGCCTTGGAAGTGCACCAGTTTCTCAGCCAAGGCACTATACACGGGCGGAAGTTCTTCTGGGGGAATTCCAACATCTGCAGCTAGTCCCACCGCTGCACAGTAGTCCCTGGAAGCTTCAAGAACAGTTGGAGGGGTCAACAACCAGGTGGCACACTTCTTCAACACAAGAGGCAAACATCATGCAAACAGCCCAGCCGGTTCAGCCCTGCACCTGGCATTCTTCTCTTCAAAGCTTCGGTTCAACTCGTGTTTGGCATAGTCCCTTTTTAACACTGAGTCCTGCCACCATGGATCCAGCAGCAAAAAGGAAAAGGGACGCCAGGACTCAGCCAACCGTTGGTGCCAAAGCACCAGCCACCACTGACTATA